CCAATGGATATTTAATAATCTGTTTGGTAACATCTAGGGCTATCATAAAAAAAAAAGCCCAAAAAGTATTGTTTAGTTTGTATGAGGTACAACGGCTAATCAATCCTTTTTTTGGGGTTAGTGATTCATCTTCGGTGGGTTTTGATTTTGTGTGGCAACGACAAATTGATATAGTGCTTGGTGGAATTCAATTCCATGGGTTTATTTCGGCAGTCATTGTACGGTTGATTTGGGTTATTATTTTGGGTCTTTTACAATCTGTTTAGAAAACTTTTGTTAATCTATTTGGTGAAATATTTCCTCTTTTTATTTGTGATCATTTGGAATTCACCTAAAAGTGATTTTGTGAGACCATTCGTGTGTCGTTTGTAATCGTTTAAAAACCTTTGGTTGATAGTGGAATCGAATTTCGAACCATGCAAAAATTATTATGTCGTCGTTGATTTAATTTTTCCGCATTGACTTTTATTTCCATTGATTGATTTACTTGTAGAAAATCATTTATTTTTTCCTAACAAATTTTATAATAAAATTACACATTTTTATGATAGTAAACCTATGATATGCACCCCTTAAAAGATTTTCCTAGTATTTGACAAAGGTACACTAATCAAAATTTTCACATAACAAAATGGCACATAATGACGAGCTGTAATAAAAGGTTAAAAATGTTAAATAAATAATTCTTTTATACAAAAAAAAAAAATCATATATACTTATGTAATCATGAGTAAGACTTTTAATATTTAAACATAAGTAATGATATACAAATAAAAACATATATAATAATATGTTATAAATTATGAACCTATCATTTTAAAATTTAAAATTTATAAAGATGTATATTTTATTTACGAAAGTGCCACTGCTGTAAAAAAAAATTATGGTATAATATAATTTTTCTTTAAATATTATTTATAATTTTAGATATTTTATTTAAATATATTCTATTTGTAAATTATTATCCTACAATTTTTGTTTGTGCATTATAAAAAGTAAAATAAAAAAGGTAGATAAGAAGAAATTGCAAAAATAAAAAATAAATAATAAATAGAGGGTTTGGCCTCCATCAGAAAAACAAAAATTCTTTAGTTCAATACATTTATTGTTTTTTCAACTTTGTATAATAGTTGAGGTTGATAATCACATTTAATGCACTCTTAACAAGTTAATAAAACCCTTGCTTTAAAGTGAAAAATACACATCGTATCACATCCAGTGAAAGGATTAGAATTCATGAGCATTTCTGAAGTACAAATTTTGTTTTGCCTTGATGAGAATTCATGTTGTATATTCATGCCATTTAGTAGATGAGTATGTATTGATTGCCATATACATATTGGAGAGGACTTGTAATTCTTTTCTTTATAGCAATATCAACCCATTCTCGTTCAGATCCTCTTTTAATTACTTTGTACCCTCTTTCTGGTTGTGTTCATATCTTTTTTCATGGGTTTGGATTTTGCAAATAAAGGGCATGACAATAGATAGGTGACATGCACCGATAAATGGATAGTGAACAAATAGACATATGGGTAGGAGTAATATAGTTTTTCAAATTATTTTTATCTTTTTGGTCCCCAAAAAAATAGAGTTTGGGGCTATTGCCCCAAAAGTTTTGAAATTAGACCTATGGTTCGAGTACCCTATTTTTTTTTTTAAATTGATTTAAATATGAAAATTTTCACTAAAAAAAGAAAAACATGAAAATGAAAAATAGAAAAACACGGGTTTGAAATCAAAACTATATATCCTTCAAAACACTAGTAACTCGTCCACTTTGGTCTGATGATATGTAATAAATTGGCTTGTATCCGAACTAGATGTTTTCAAAAAACACAAAAAACCACAAAAAAATAAATAAATAAAAATAAAATTCAAATACAGTTTTAGATTAAAAGCTAAACTATATTTCCTTCGGCATCAGGTTTAGTCCAATGATATGTATCTTATTGGTAAATTGGTGTGTATCCGAACTGCAAGCATTCCAAGAAACTATGTATCTGAACCAGAATTTTCCGAATCCGACATTGAAAGGTATGTTGTATCAACTAATCTGTGGAGAAGTTTTTCCTCTACACAATGGTACCACAATTTCTTTGGCGCAAATGTTGGTAAGGAAAAAGGAAAAATGAAGGGAAGGAAATCTTCAGAAAAGATAACAAATTTATTCATATACATAACAACTAATTAAAACATAACAACTAAGCATTATCTTTGTTGTTGCTGGCCAAGGTTTGTCCTTGTCAGATGCATCCTTCCTCACCCATCCATTAAACTCTGCATAGGAACAAGAAAAATCTTTAACATAAGACAAAATCTAGGTATCTTTCCACAGTAAGTAATATGAGAAAAAGGAACAAAGCAGAAAAGGACTAATATTGTGTAAATCTTTCTACACATCTTTCACAACTCAGGAGGACAAACGAATATCTACACAGTATTAACCGCTATTGAAAGTTTCAAGTGACATATAAAAATGTATTCAAATTCAAATTGACAAAAAAAATAAAAATAAATTTGGTTGTATGGGACGAAAAGTAATCTTTCAACACATCTTTCACAACTCGTGAGGAAGTCCCCTTTTAGAGTTTTAATTGATAAGTGAAAATGTATTCAAATTCAAATTGACAAAAAAAATAAAAATAAATTTGGTTGTATGGGACGAAAAGTAATCTTTCAACACATCTTTCACAACTCGTGAGGAAGTCCCCTTTTAGAGTTTTAATTGATAAGTGAAAATGTATTCAAATTCAAATTGACAAAAAAAATAAAAATAAATTTGGTTGTATGGGACGAAAAGTAATCTTTCAACACATCTTTCACAACTCATGAGGAAGAACAAACATCTACACAAGATTAGTCCCCTTTTAGAGTTTTAATTGATAAGTGAAAATGTATTCAAATTCAAATTGACCCAAAAAAAAAAAAAAAATGGTTATATGAGACAGAAAGTAAGATGCTGCTACCACTCTGTTGATGTCATTATTAATTTGTTGAAATCACGATAGACTAGTGACATAGATAAACAAATAGTTAACATAGAGTGAGTAAGATGTGTTACGTACGGAATTGTGCTGCAATCAATAGTAAAGTCAATGGTTATTCCGCGAAGATCAATTTTGCAAAGATCGGGAAGTTTCTTAGCTCTATCAACGTTAACCCCTAAAGATGGTCCAACTTGTTTAAAACACGCACAAACAGCCCAGCGATCTGCTATAGAATTAGCCATCTGGTTCAGGTTTTGAGCTCCCTGACAGCACGTCACAGTGATGTCGCTGTTGCCCAACAGGTATTGTTCGCATGGAAGTATTTTCACTATCGCATCTTGGCAAGTGATTGTTGCACACACTAACCCGCCCATATCGTTTCCTTTTTCAAAAGCTTTAAGAACAAGACTTGGTTTTGATATGTTTCTTGGGACTACAATGTTGAGGAACACACCCTATTTATAATGCATTTGGGTGGTGGTTTTTCTAATCAGTGTGAACGCATAATATCAATCAAGTTCACATTTTTGGAACGAAAGGAATGAATTTGATTTAATGCAATGACCAATTAATTTGTTGGTATAACTGCCACTCATTTGAGGTAATTAACAAAAATAATTAAATGCTAATTAAGAATATATAAATGTTACGAACACACAAATTACAAAATAGAAATACTATTTACACCGAAAATCTATGCACAGAATGCACAAAAGCTCACACATGAGGGTGGGTTCCCACATGAAACCTTTGCAAGGTACCTGTCTTTATAGGCACAATATCGTGTGGTGAGTTCGTGGACGTATTTTGCCAATTTATTTTGATAATTCACACCGTTCATATTATAGGGTTTATCAAGAAGAATTATCCAAAAAAGGTTTATCGAGTAGAGCATCCTTGAAAAAGTAATTAAGGCAATTGGACATCTAAAACCCATAAAAATTTTTTTTTAAAAAGCACACTAAATTTATGTTAGAAAAAATAAATGATTAACATAATTTTGAGAATTTTTTTAAAAGCACTTATGGTCCGATTATAGGGATATGCAAGTCCGATTAATCTCATTTTTTATACGAATAATATACTCAACAAATTCTATAATATGAACGGTTCGGATTATCAAAATAAAATCAAAACGAACCTCAATCGGGGGCATTACAATGGAGGTGACAATACCCGCCCTGTGTCTGTCCCACATGAGTCTCACATATGTAAATCCTACCTTCATGTGAAAATTTCTGTATATTCTTTGCAAATTACAACCCTAGTTATGACCTTATTATTGACCTCCACTCATTATACAAATTACAAATACTAAAAATATCTTAAATTATGTCACATCATCAATTGATATGCTAATTAGTATATATAGCATTAATCTTATTCTATTATTATGTGGCTTGA